TCGCCAAAGCAAGAAAATGCAAAAAGGAAGCAATATGACATCGATGCGTGTAAAAACGCTTTGCAAGGAGGAAAGCTTTAACGAAATTTTGGTCAAATTTACTTATCCATTGAAAGATGGATATATTGGAGATTTTTTAAAAAGTCGCTCTTCATCGTGTGGCATTTACTTTATCTATCACCATAAGCGTTAGAATTGATATGTAGACAACGGATTCTTATCTTTGATGAGATGCAACCTCTGAACTCGTCCAAGAGAAATATTCAAATAACTAAACGACTAGAGTTCCGGACGATCGTTCTCAGCGACTATTCAGTCACTACTAGCGTTGTCGTAGTGTTCAACTATTCTCTATTTCAGTGACTATTTATGTACTATTTTGTAGTGTAGTTCATTTGCGATGTTTCAGCTCAAAGTGCACTTTGGCTGGATTGAAGAAACTTGAGTTAGAGAGACCTCGCGGAGAGCAGCACAATTCCTTTCAAATTCATTCTTCGATTTTCTGGATAGCTGACTGGAATGCCAATAGCGATTTGCCTTCAACTCCTGGCTTAATGCGGTGGTGGCGGAAGAGTAGTACATGAGAATTAATGAAATGTGGGAGGTGATTATGTAGGGAATGGAAGGAAACTTTTTAGATAGATTGAAGAATTAGTTTTTTTTCCCGATATTTTTTTTTTGTTAACTACACGATCTTTATTTTCTGGATGACCCTCGTATCAAAATGATTGACTTGCATTTAGGAAAATACTGTCCTTTTTCTCAACTTTTTAAAATTTTGAAATAAAATTTTAATCTTATGGAATTTTTAATTACATTCTTCATGATCAAAATGTAGCAAAATGTAGAAATAAATAAAATGAAGGTTATCTATTTATTTCTCTATCAAATTCTATAAACACTTTTATATATATTCTATAAACTCTTTTAGGTATTCCTCTGCGAACTTTTATATCTTCAAAAATACTAAAGAACGACTTTCGAAATCGGGGGATAAATGCGCAGTCAGAAATAATTCTTCTCCTGCTTTTTTTTTTTTTGTTGTTGATATTTTAAAGCAGCAGATGATAATTTGTAATTCGAGTAAAAGAGTAATATTACATTTCCGAGGCTTCAAATGGAAGGTAGACGAAGAGCTTTGTAAATATTGAATTTTATTTTCTTACAATTCTTTAACGATAAAAAAATTCTTTACATTATCTAATTTTCTTATTATACCTTATTAGCCGCTACCCTCCCGCTTTGCTGAGTATTTCATAAGGTTGTATGGATACATACTGCTTCTATACAAATTTTTGCTATCTAAGTTCAAGAATTAAGCGTTCGATTCTATACATTCTCACCTCTAGATTTTAAAAAAAGGACAGGACTTCTAAATAATAATTTCTAAAATTGAAGTAGAAGTATATTTTACGCTCTCCCTAAGTACATTTTCTCACAGCCCATTTTTAGTGGATCTCTACTCAACAAAATAAACCTGTTTGCCAAATTTCAAGTCTGAATCTAATAGTTCAAAAACAGAATTTTTTTATCAGTAAGCCACGTGACCTCCTTTGGGAGTCGCTTTTCGCGAGGTTCGTCCAGAGCGGATTTCAATTCAACAAAAGAAGCATGCATATCAAATTTTATTACCGTAGGTCTAGATATTCGAAAACGGGAATTTTTTTTATTAATAAACCTCAATAACTCCCCCCATAAGATTTCGTAAAATCTGTTCTTAATGGATATTTATTCAACAAAAGAGATATGCTTACCAAATTTCAACTATATGGGTCTAACAGTTCAAAAACAGGAATTTTTATCAATTACACCCCTTAATTCCTCGCAACCCCTTGAGGGACGATTTTCGTAAAATCCCTTTTGCATTAGACCTCTAATCCGTGAAAGGAACATGCCTACCCAATTCAAGTCTGTAGGTCTAATAGTTCAAACACAGGAATATTTATCTGTAACACTGTGTGCTTGGGGGCCAATTTTCGCAAAAATCCGTTCTTAGCAGAACTCTACTCCAGGAAATAAACATCTCTGTCAAATTTAAATTCAGTAGGTCTAATAGTTTTGGATGATATAGTGATGTCACACACTTTTCTTCTTTATATACAAGGTTTTGCCGAATTTGACTGACAAATTCAGAGGGGTGATAGTGGACAGCATGGAGAAGACAAATCACCATTGAACATGGGGTAACAATGCAGGTTAAGTCGGAGCAATTCGCAAAAACGGTTATGAAGGGTGTGATGTCGAGTGGAAGGAAAAGGGACAATAAGAGATAAGAAATACATTTATTAGTCGTAAGATATGTTTACAATACGATATATATATATACGTATCCCAGTTCGATGTCAGAAATGTAGCAACTAGTGATTATCACAATATTTGCTCGAATTCCACATCTGACCCCAATGGGCGAAGGATTGTCGGACACGTTCAAGCAAATCCGGTTTGCTGGCGACATCAGCTGAAGCGACGACAATCCGTGCAGTGAGATCCTCCACAGTAGCCAACGGCGTCTCAAACACAGACAATTTCAAGTGACCTCAGAGAAAGAAATCCATGGAGTTGAGGTCCGAGGAGCGTGGAGACAAAGCAAGAGGTCTGCCGCGTCTAATCCCCCTCCAGGTATGCATGAACCACATCCTGGTGCGCAGTGTCCGGTATTTCCTGCAGGAAGTACGTGATAAGTGGGAAATTTGCGTACGTGCAGTTGTCTTCAACCCTACCGCGACGTTCCAAATCCCATCATTCGTTTTGCCACTACCTTTGTATGCCTCGTCGATTCCCGACAGCTATTATTACCGTGATTTTCATCGATATTTTTTGCATTATCGTGTTCCATTGTGATTTGTCGTCCCCATGCTGCTTACTATCACCCCTCTGAAGATGTCGGTCGAATTCGGCGACAACCTGTATATAAATTAATCGATGTACTTTGGTTGTTCAAGTAATAATAAGGAAAATTTGTTTCTCTCTCGGATGTAAATTGGAAGGGACTCGTTTTTTCTTGTCTCAGTGTTTTGTGTGGGTTTTCTCCGTTTCAGGATCTGTATGAAACTTCTATAAAAACGTTTGATATGAACCACCTGATGTAATGGATTACTTCAGCGCACTACTAAAGGCACATTAATACATAGGGTTTTGTGTATTTTTACAAAAAATTTAATTAATTATTAAATATTTTTGAGTCATATTTCTTTTTTATATAAGGTATCTGACTTCGTAGGGTGCAAAGAAAGAAAAAAATTGACAAAATACCAAAGAGTGAAGGTGTTAAATATAAATCAGGAAATTTTTAATAATGTACTTCTCTATTTTATTTCAAAATTGCATTTAAAACGTTTAAATGCATTTTTCTCAAAACTATTTTTTGTGTGTGAATTTTATGATATTTTAAAGACATTAGAGATATTTGTATGAAATTTTACTCAAATGTTATTAGTAGTATTATCTAGGGAATGGACTACAAGCTAAGACATTGTCTCTTTCTTTGTATTTCCTTTTAAAATTATAGAAAATATGATTGAAACTCTTAGTTTGTAGCTTCGCGCGATTGGCTATAACTTTTGATTCAAAAGAAATAATTTAAAACTATTCCTTAGAAATACGTTTTAAAAGTGTGCTGCAGTATTATTTTTAAATATATGAAATATTTGTTAAAAATACTCAAAATATAATTTAAAATTTTTAAAAATTAAAATTTTTGTAAATTGTTACGCATAAATATTATTTCTAAATGTATTTTTTATTATTGCGTATTAAAGTGAAATTAAAAATGTAAAAAACATTAGAGACTTTTAGGAAACTAAAAAAAGGCCTCTGAATCTAGTAGGATATTTTAAAATGTAAATAAGAATATGTTTCCGTATCATATTTATGTGTGTAGCATGATATTTATTAAGTTATAATTTAATAAACGATTTGAAACACATTTCAATGTCTAGGATTTCGGAATTACTGAAGATGATCGTATATTTATCTAAAATTTTCAGTTGAGATTCAGGTGATACAGATTTAGTTCTTTCTTTTTTCAATAACTACTATTATATTCTCCCTATATATATATTTTTGTTCAAATTTTCAATCGCTAATAAAATACTTTTTATTCATCAACTCAAATTCAAATACATTTTTTAAAACTTGTTGTGGATGACACGTCATGTTAATACATTTTTTCAAATATTCATTCATTAATTTAATTTAATTTGTGAATAAATAGTAACAAACAAAAATAATAGTTCAATACCGTATATAAAAAGGAAAATCGATCGTTATGTCCCTGTAGCGCAATGGAGAGCGAGTTGGACTTTTAATCCAAAGCTCGAACCCAACCTGGGACGGCCTAACTTCTGTGATTTCTTTTCATTGTACTACTTTATTGGAAGAGATGATTGATAAATAGTAACAAACAAAAATAATAGTTCAATACCGTATATAAAAGGAAAATCGATCGTTATGTCCCTGTAGCGCAATGGAGAGCGAGTTGGACTTTTTAATCCAAAGCTCGAACCCAACCTGGGACGGCCTAACTTCTGTGATTTCTTTTCATTGTACTACTTTATTGGAAGAGATGATTGATAAATAGTAACAAACAAAAATAATAGTTCAATACCGTATATAAAAAGGAAAATCGATCGTTATGTCCCTGTAGCGCAATGGAGAGCGAGTTGGACTTTTAATCCAAAGCTCGAACCCAACCTGGGACGGCCTAACTTCTGTGATTTCTTTTTATTGTACTACTTTATTGGAAGAGATGATTGATAAATAGTAACAAACAAAAATAATAGTTCAATACCGTATATAAAAAGGAAAATCGATCGTTATGTCCCTGTAGCGCAATGGAGAGCGAGTTGGACTTTTTAATCAAAGCTCGAACCCAACCTGGGACGGCTAACTTCTGTGATTTCTTTTCATTGTACTACTTTATTGGAAGAGATGATTGATAAATAGTAACAAACAAAAATAATAGTTCAATACCGTATATAAAAAGGAAAATCGATCGTTATGTCCCTGTAGCGCAATGGAGAGCGAGTTGGACTTTTAATCCAAAGCTCGAACCCAACCTGGGACGGCCTAACTTCTGTGATTTCTTTTCATTGTACTACTTTATTGGAAGAGATGATTGATAAATAGTAACAAACAAACAGAACAGTCCAACACCCTATATAGAACCCTTTCTATTTTGTCACTTAATATTGTGATTCTGTTATATGTATAGACATATTTATATTAATTATAACTAGTTTATAAAAAGAACTAAAATAAAATTATTCTTCGTAGACGTTAGTAGGGATTGACTTTTTTATGGTACTTGTTTTTAGTAGAAATGGGTTTAATTCATGACAGTGCATACAATGAAGCGCAGTTCATAAATGCAAGCACATGTTTTCCATAGAATTCAAAACTGACATTAGGTTTGTATTTGTGTTCTACTTGTAAAACTTAAATAAAATTTCAGATTTGATAGTTGAGTAAAGATGTTAAGATTCTTCAAAAAGTTTTCAAAAAACTAAAAAAATTCTTCTATTATAAGAATACTTTTAAATCGAGTGCATTTTTTCTATCCATGTGCGTTATTATTGTTGACAGATATGAACTTCTTAAGGTATGCGAACACGTTCGGAGTACTTTTTGATAAAATAACATATTTAAACATTATAAAGGCTTCTTTAGGACTCAATAGCAATAAATACTAATATTTAACCAACAATGTTTCAATTAAATTGCCTAAATAACACAAAAATCACAATTATAAGTGAAATTTTAGCAATATTGTTTTAAAACCAAAGCAATTAGAGAAAAAAGTAATAAACTTATATTAGTAAAATTATTACCAAAACAAATTAGATGTAGTTATCTAAAGAATGTACTAAAATTTTAATGTTTTATTAAAATTTGAAAATTTTATAGCTATGAGTAAACATTATAGGAAAAATTGCATTCTTTATGAGACCATTATTTAAATAAAAAGCCCTAACACAAAAAATATTCATAGAATAAGAAATATTTTAGTACATTCTCTAGAAAATAGCATAAATATCAGGTTCAAAAAGTTTTATAGAACTACTTTCATAATATTTTGAGTTATCAGACTCGTCATGATAAATTTTGAACCACTTAAATACCCACTTCTGTTTTTTCTAACTTTATAAAATTGATTTCAGCTTGGCCTTTAGGTAGTGTAAAAACAAAACAAAGTATGTTTTGTAAAGCCAAACGATTCAATAAAATAAAAAACAAAAATATCTGTCTATGCCAAATGTGGTCATTTGGAACGTGTTCGGATACCCCTTAAAAGAAAGTTTCTCTATAAAGCAAAAATTAACAACAGCTAAGCGCACGAACTCATTGACGGGAAATACGCAATGGCATTTATCACGGGACTCTGAGGTCACGAGAACTAACCCTTTTATATTTTTTACAATATATATAACAGAAGAAAAGTGAGTAATATTCATAACTGGTTTTATAAAAAAAATTATTGTACTCACTGAGCGTTCCTTAAGAGATCGATGGCTTTTGTAGAATGCCTAAAAGACTGTTTGTTGTCCAAGAAAGGATACTGGTTGAGTTGAATGTGAGCATCGTATCTGAGCAACGATGTCAAGTAAAAGTGCTTCACAAAATGCGGTAAAACCTTTTATCTAAATTATAGTTATAACACAAAATATATATCTAGTGACAGGCCAATTGAAAAAAAGAATGTAAAAATGGTTGGATATCAATTTCATTAAAGAATTCCGTTCTGCGTTTTGAATTGTTCGAAATGAAAATACAATTATATCATTTGATATCTTTAAGCTAAATAAATTAGAAGTAAGAATTGTGTATTTTCAAACTATATTGAAACTTTATTTATATCTATAGAAATCAAAACATATATTTAATTATGGAACTTTTTTTAGAAAAAAGTTATGTTAGATTCTCAAATTCTAAAATTACACTTTCTTTTTTAAATGCAAATAGTGCTTTATATAAATTTTTTGCTAAAAAGTGTTTGCAAAAACTTATAACTTGCGTTGTAAAGTTTTATAATGAAGTTCTCGTTAACTCGATAAATATATATTCTACTTCCCCTTTTTATTACATTCTAGAATTCAGTTGTATTAGAATCGCTGAACATTTGCAGCGATTATATCCACAGCTATGGTTAGATTATAACTATATGTAAACAGAGAATAGGGTTAAAAGAAAAATAATTTTAATTTTGGACAAAATTCTTGTTTAATGTACATCTTTTGTGACGAAGGGGAAAAAGGGTTCTAAACTGCTATTTTTCTGTTATATGTAACATCGTGACCCCAAAATTTGCTTCCTTCCTGGGTAGCGAGAGGCGTCACACAGCTTTAGCCAAAAGGCATTTTATTTACAAATAAGTTTAAAATAATTAACTCCATTATTAATGATTTTAATCATCGCAACCTTTCACTGGATAAAAGTTCAAGTCCGGATCAACGTTTGTTGATCTCCTGATGATCGACTCCCGGTGTGGCTGTCCCCGCAACTTCTTTCACTTGCATCACCCAAGATCAATCACCGGTGTAGCTGCCTCACAGACTCCGTTTTGAAGATGTCTTCGCAGTTCCTTCATCTCTTAATCCTCTCTTGTCATCTTCTGAACTCCCTCTTTAAATCCCCTGGATGGGACTCTTTCACGTCCCCAATAATTTCTGATGGGTGAGAGTCGCGGCACACGGCAGCCTCTGTCCCAACTTTATTGGTTCTTTGAGACAAAAGGCCGTCGCGACTGAAATCACCGTACCTTGTACCCCTATCTGTCAATCGACTTGTCACTTTGGGAATACCTTCCTGGGTCACAACAGGCCGACACTCCTTCCATTCAAGTACTTCATGGCCCATATGTGTGAAGGAACAAAAGAATAGATGACCGTGCTACAGGTGGGCCACTTCTATAAATCGCTGTGACGAAAAAACGATCTGGGCGTCGGAGAAAGAAGAAATGTGGTAACACCAAAGTCGTTTCCTGAATTGGCTCAACATCTGTTTTTCCCCCGGGAAAAAGAGAAAAATACGCGGTCCCCTTAGAAGAGAATTCTGGTCATTCTACTCACCCTCGTGCTTCAAAAATGACAAATGGTGTCGTAAAGTGTTCGTCTAATGAAGCGACATTACAAATACAACGATAATATTTCGTAAAGTTAGATAACTGAGCACAATAATTCGATAATAATAATAATTCGTCAATAATGAAACCGATTAAAATAGAATATACTCACTATTACTTTTTTATTAATAATGATGAATAACTCTTGAGGTTGATTAGGATGAAATTAACTTACATTAGTCTACTTAAATATTCTCTGAATGAGAAATCCATCATTTATGAAATGTCATTTCTTTCGTTAAAACGACCTAGTTCGAAAAAGGCGCATTTGGCAAATGAAAAAACTTAACTAAGAACTTGCTAAAACAAAAGTATCTGTCTTGAATTCAATATAAAAGGGGAATATAAAGTGCGTTAAGGAAAATTAAATTGATCTGGGAAAAAAATTAATCGCTAATCCTAAAAGTTTAAAGATTAGCATGCTACCGCAAAAGTCTTCATCAGAACTTGTGTTTTAGACCGACACACTTGCAGGGTGAGTAGAAGGTATACAGACGACTCAGATAACAAAGGTGCAAATGCCGCAAACAAGTAATATATTAATGAAACTTTCCTACTTAGATCAACAAAGAAATTTTTTATTTTAGTTACAATTAATTTAAATATATATACATATGACAGAAAACAATCTAAACATTCAAATCAATCTTGTATATAAAATTTCAGTTCAACAGAATGCTTTAAAACTTGAGAAAAAAAATCTTTTAAAGTTTCGACCCATGTCGCTAAAATTGAAACCAACGTAGCTGTATCTGTAATTCTTTAAACAATTAGTTTCAGTCAAGAAATTTTAATTTATTATAATTAAATTATCGTATTGTCACCGAAAACAATAGTGTATTAAAAATCTCAGCTCAAATGAGCGCTTTAAAATGTTAGAAAAAAACCTTTTCAAGTTTTGACACAAGTCGCCAAAAGGGTCGCTAACTCGCTAAAAATGATGCCAACGTGGCTGTATTTGTAATTCTTTGAATAATTAGCTGTAATCAATTAGTTTTTATTAGTTATAATTAAATTACGGTATTGTCATTCAAAATAGTCGCGTACATAAAATTTCAGCTCAATTGAGAGCTTTAAAATGTATTTCATTAACGATTAAAAATTTGAACAAGATAAATAAATATATAAATATAGAGAGAGTGTGAGCTAATAGTGGGAATTGAAAAAGAACAGAAAGAGTAACATATTAATTGGACAGAAAGAGTTTTGTTGAAAGGCTGTACTGCAACAGATGTTTGAAATTACGACCATGCTGTGCTGCATGGAATTCCTTACGTTCAGGAAGACACTGAAGGGAAGGATTTGTGAACACCGATCCAGTTTTAAGTTGCGATTCGTTTTCCGAGGAAGTAGGATGATTGCATATTGAAGCGAGGAGCTGGTCGCCATGCTGAAATTGCACGGAGCTGTGAAATGGCCACACCGCGCGGTCTTCCATGTCACCTTATTGTCCTTTTTCTTCTTCTGGGGTCACATAAAGAGTTTGGTGTCCGATATGCCTGTTCCTCGAATTTCTCTAGCTGCCGGGAGGATACGTAACATATAAGGAATCTTCCAGAACGTAAGGAATTCCACGCAGCGCCGTTATCAGACCTGCTAACTATGACTTCCGGTCGTAATTTCGAACACCAGTTGTATTATAATATTTCAATAAAATGCTTGCTGTCCCATTAATATGTTTCTCTTCTTTTTCAATGTTTCTTTGCATCCTAGCTCGCAACTGCGGCATTGGCGAACCTGCATTCCTATGCGATTCCGAGTCATTTCTATACCACCTATAAACCCTACAAGTTGGTCGGTCTGGTAACAAATTACCCTGCATGTCGATGCTAAAATACTTCCATTAAAAGTATGTTGAAGTCTTAAGTGACAACGTTTAAAAATATATTTGTATTTTACTATACTTGTATCTTGAAAAACAGTGAAATATTTTATTTAATTGCTTT